TCCAATGAATCAACAAGTGAAGGATTATTGTTATTTACTATAATAACAATAAGGTATTTAATTCTAAACCTTCTTTTGGTATTTTTCGAAATAGCCTATGCCTTCTAGGGTTCTTATTTTGATGTTCTTAGTTATAGGTTCAATAGTGAAAACATACATCCAATTAGGTTGCATGTGAACTTAAGGAGTTTTGAGTTTATTTGTTTACCTAAAACCCATGACACGCAAACTCAATTTGCTTGCAAACTAAAGGTTTGTCAAAGTGATGAGGAGACCGAATTTCTAAATAATCGAGTACGCAAATTGTTTCATGATAATGTTACTCACCATCAAATGTTGTGTCCTTACACTCTACAGCAAAACGGATGAGTAGAAAGAAAACATCGTCATTTAACCAAAACGGGAATCGCAATGTTATTTGGTGTCGATGGTCCTGCAACCTTTTGGGTAGATGCCTTCTCATCTGTAACTTATTTCATTAATCGCCTACCCATTTGAAATTTTGTTTAATGTCACACCAAACTACAACAATTTCAAAGCTTTTGGATGTCGGGTCTTTCCTTACCTACGACCCTATGCGGAGCACAAAATCGCACCATGGAGCATCGAATGCGTCTTTCTTGGCTATTGCACTCAATACAAAGGGTACAAATGCTTGGATCCTATCACTTATCGAGTTTTCATTACTCGGAGTGCAAAGTTTGATGAAAGTTCTTTCCCGTTCGCAAGCAAGACAACTACCACAAACCTTTTCACCTTATTTATGAGTTCTTATTCAGATAATACACCACCTCTATCAACCGAAAAGGTTACATCAGTACCCTTATCTACCTCATCCACTCCTCAAACACCTACACATTTCCCTCCTTGTTTACAATAAGATCATTTGACCACCCCAGCTTAAAACAACAATGTTCCCACACCTAATAACACCCCGCCACCATCACTAAATAACCACCACACTCCATCGCCACATCACGGTACCCCCCCCCCCCCCCCGGGTCACCAACTAGTCTGCCACACCCATCGCCATATCCTGCTCGTGGTCAACCTTCCATGCATCCTATGAATACTAGAGGAAAAATGGGCATTGTCAATCCTCGACATCTCTTTGATCTTCTTGCTACTTCTCAAAAATCTCTTCATGATGCATTATTTGCTGCCAAAGAGCCCAAGGATTTCCAATCGGCAACAAAACTTGATCATTGGCGTCGTGTTATAACTGAGGAAATACAAGCACTTCACCACAACAATACTTGGACACTTTTTCCACGCCCGTCCAATGCCAACGTGGTTGGGTGTAAGTGGGTCTTTTGATCCAAATACCACGCCAATGGCACCATTGATCGCCATAAAGCTTGCCTTCTGGCGCAAGGTTTCACCCAAATTCTCGGGTTTGATTTTTCTCATACCTTTAGTCTTGTCGTTAAAGCAACCACAATTCACATTGTTTTTTCTCTAGCAGTCACAAATTGGTGGAACCTTCATCAACTAGATGTTAAAAACGCATTCTTGAATGGTCATCTACGTGAAACGGTATACATGGAACAACCCCGAGGCCATGTTGATCCACGTCATCCCAATCATGTGTGTCGTCTCAACAAATCTCTTTACGGTCTTCGCCAAGCCCCTCGATCTTGGTTTCAACGACTAAGTTCCTTTGTGTAACACAAGGATTCAAATGTAGCCAAGCCGATACGTCTCTCTTTGTCTTTCATCGTGACACCTGCCTTCTATATCTATTAGTATACAGGGATGACATTATTCGGACTAGAAATCATGAGCCCTCCATTACTCGTTTCATAAGTTGCTTGAAGAATGAATTTGCCATCAAGGATCTAGGCATATTAAGCTATTTTCTTGGCCTTGAGGTTTCTTATACTTCCGATGGTTTGTTTTTAAACCAAAGCAAGTATGCTCATGATATTCTAAGTCAGACATATCTTCTTGATTCCAAACCTGTTGGAATGTCACTTGCCACAAATGACGTTTTCTCCCCAGACGGCACTCCTTTTCACGAATCAACATTGTACCGATACTTTGTTGGAGCTCTTCAATATCTGACTATCACCAGGTCGGATATCTCCTACGTTGTTAATCAAGCAAGTCAGTTCCTCCACTCTCCAACACATGAACAATTTACATTAGTAAAAAGGATCATGCGATACATCAAGGGCACTCTCAATCATGGTCTTCAATTTTCGTGTCCTACCAAATCTATGCTCATTGGTTACTCAGATGTCGATTCGGCGTGTTGTATTGAAACCAGACGTTCCACCTATGGCTACTCGATCTTCTTTGGTGGAAAGCTTGTATCTTGGAGTGCGAAAAAACAACCTACCGTTTCCAGATCCAGTTATGAATCTGAATACTGGGATATGGCAAACACCATGCAGAGCTTATATGGATTTCTCATCTCTTACGTGACTTAAATGCTTTGCCAACTGAATACCCAACGTTACTTTATGACAAATTAAGCGCCATCTTCCTAAGTCAAAACTCAGTAGAACACAGGAGAGCTAAACATATCGATATTGATCACCACGTCATTCGAGAACTTGTATTGTCAGGAAAACTGCGCACGAAATTTGTTCCTACCAAGCTTCAGGTGGATGACATTTTCACCAAACCATTACCTATACCAATTTTTGAACAGTTTCGAGATCAACTGAGGGTACGTCCACCACCCTAGGGATGAGATTTAGAACCGGAAAATCGGACCGGAACCAGAATCGGGTCGGAACCGGAACCGTTAGAACCGGAATATATAGAACCTGTTTCGGGTTTAAAAATTGGTTGTCTCCGGGTTTCGGTTAATCCAAGTTTGTGTCCATTAGGTCTGGGTAAACCGGGTCTAATCACCGGAACCATTTTTAGAGGTCGGAACCGGTTTCTGTTAAACGTTTAAAAGATACATATATCATTCGTTTCAAGTCGGATTGTCGTGCGGTTTTCTCCAATGTGTAGCTTAGAGTTTTTACATGATTTTAGACTATAAATTTTCCATTTTTAGTTTTATATTCATTGACTTACAGTCCCCAAATTCGAGAAATCAAGTTGTAAGTTTTTAGTTTTTCAGTTTTTTTGTATTCTGTGAAAGTTTTAAAATATGCATATCTAATTCGTTTGAAATCGGATTGACATGCGGTTTTATCCAACTTGTAGTTTAGAGTTTGTACATGAGTTTAGACTATAATTTTGTCATTTTTTGTTTAATATTCAATGATTTACAGTGCCCCGAAGTCGGGATATCAAAGCTGAAAATTGTCAATTTTTCAGCTATTTGTTTTTGTACTTTGTATTATGTGAAAATGTTAACACATGTATATCTCATTCGTTTAAAGTCGGATGGACATGCGCTTTTTTTCGGCATGTAGTTTAGAGTTTGTACATGATTTTATAATATAATTTTGTCAATTTTGGTTTCATATTCAATGAGTTACAGTCCCACAAAGTCGGGATATCAACATGAAAATTTTTCAAAGTTCAACCCACTAAGTAGTAAGTAATTACCAAAAAATTCTGGTTTTTCCGGTTCTAAACTCACTTTATCCGGTTCCAACCTACCTACTTTGATGTTTTCGGATTTTCCGGTTTTAAACTCACTTTGCCCGGTACCGTTTATCAAAACCAAACTCTGGTTCCTATATATCGGTCCGGTTTCCGGTTCTACCAAATCCCATTAACCAGTTCGGGTTTCCCGGGTCCGGGTCCATCCGATCCGGGTTTTGACCCAGTTTCATCCCTACACCACCCGTACGTTTGAGGGGGGCATTGGAGATAAAATCATATCCATAGTATTAGTTGATTACCTAAGTTAGGGCATCTCCAATGGCAACTTTTTTTATAACTTATTACTATTCATATTTTTTTAAATAAGCATTTATTGTCATTGGAGTCTTTCACTTTTTTGCTTTTTTCTATTGACCACTCATTATATCTTGAGTGGTCAATATACTTCTACCTTTTGTCATTTATCATCCTTATACTTTAGTTATATTTAACTTTATCCACTTAAAAATGTTCTAGTTTTAAATATTTTTTATTTTTATAATAAATATTTATTTATATTAAATATTTCATGACATTTCATTTATAAAGTATAAAATTATAATGACTATATAACTTTTTTCAATCTTTTTTTTATGAATATTTCATAATAGTTTTTTCGTATGAGTTTTTTCGAACAGTATTTTGTAATATATTTCTTTTGAAACAATGTATTGTAATATTTTTAATAAATTAAAATATGATGTATGTTTAAAAAACAAATAATTAAATAAGAGGGTTTTATAGAACATTTTAGATAGGTATGGGTAATTAGTTAACTTTTTATAAATAAAAAAAAAAGTTATAGGAAAAGGTTAACCATTGAAGAGGTTATTTAATTAGAGGTTAAAGTTTTTAGAATGATGATGTGACAATAGTTGTAAGTCTTAGTATAACTTAACCATTGAAAATGCTCTGAGTTTCAATTTACCTTATAGAGCTCTTATATCTATTGTACTCTTGTATTTATACATAATCACAAATCTACTCTAATAAATGAAGGTTTTTTTGTCACATGTCACACTCTCATTCAATTTGTCAAATGTCATTTTATGGTTATTTTGAATTAATTTTTTTTCCACATGTTATTTTATAAGTTTTTCTATTTTATTAAATTAACACAATATTTTAATATAATAATTGTAATAAATATAGTAATAAATTGATACCAATTTCATTAATAAACATACATTTTAATTTCAAATTTTACAAATTAAAGTTCATTAGTTTCTTTTGTTTATTTATTTAAATTATTTGTTTAAACTTAAAAGATAAAAAACATTTCAATTATAATAATTCATTAATTTTCTTATTTTCTTCAAAATTCAAAGTTCTCATATATTTTAACCTTTATATATATATATATATATATATATATATATATATAAATTAACCCATTAAATGCACATCTCACTACTAGTCAATAAAAATGTAAAGATATATTCCACATTCACAAAAGTATCTGTATCAACGGAGGAACATAAACACACCACATGTCCTTATAAGCTATTATTTTATCTGACTAGTCACTGTTCAGATTTTAACAATTGTGCAATGTTTAGAAGAAAAAAAAAAACATTTATTCAAAATCTGAACCAGAGCTTGGTGGGTTCGAAAGTACTAAATCTTCCGAACCATCAATACTGAAACAAATAACCCCTTCATTGACTTCCCCATCTGATTCCTTCGGATGTTCATGTTGTATATGGTTTTCATCTAAGATACGAATTGTCTATAAAAGAAACACATTAATAACATTCTTAAATCTATATTTAATTTAAATACTAATGAAATTTAAAAAAAAAATTGTACCTCGTTTTTTATCACTGGTGTCCCATGGTCGCCACCTCCTTTACCAGTGACTACTTCAAATTCATGGAAGCCTGTTCAAAGACATACATAAACACACATGGTTAACATAAAATGATGAAAGAACGTTAACTAACTAACTAACTAACTATCTCTCTCTCTCTCTCTCTCTCTCTCTCTCTCCCTCTCCCTCTCTCACACACACACACACACACACACACATATATATATATATATATATATATATATATATATATATA